GTGCCATCTACTAAAATTCATTCTCGTGTTACTCATCATTCAATTATGTCTCATCCTTTTTCTGTGACTGTTTCTAAGAGCTCCAAAAACTCTTCTTCCTCTAGTATTTTTCATCGAACATCAGTTCTTTGGAATTTGCTTCCTTCATATTGTTTTCCTGATTCATTTAATTTGTAATCCTTTAAGTCATCTGTCATTCATTATTTTGCTCTACAATCTTCATCTTTTCTATTACAGTAACTTCCAACTCTAATTAGTGGTTGTTTGCAGCCTTGTTGGAAGTGAAGATGTTTATAAAAAAAAATTTTTTTGTTGATAACAAGTAAAATTAATAAAAGTGGGGGGGGGGGGGTCTAAACAAGCTTGGGATGAGTGGGAAAATTTTCTAAAAATTAATGTCTTCTCTGTATGTATTGAGCACCTAAGAGTAAATGTCTTGCAATTTTATTTTTTAAATTTTATTTTAATAATTTATAGGAATGAAATGATGTGAATTTTCACTTTCAATGTTAATTTTCATTACCAATTTAATGTTAAACAAAATACCCTTTGTATTTTTATTTCCTGAAAATTTTCTGTAACTTTTAACTGAAATTGAAAGTAAATTTTTAAAAAAAACATGGGGGACAAAAAAAGGCATAAAGCTATTTCAAGAAAATGTTATATTACGAAAAAGGGAACAAAATAAGGCGCAAAATAGTACAAAAAGTGTCATTAATACTCAATAGGAGCTTTTTGATTTGGTGGACTATATATAGTGATGAGTAAACTATACTCTTTCAGAAAAAGTTGAAATTAATTTTGATACAATTCAAAAAACCTAAATTTAGTAAAGGCTAATTGTGTATATGTGTATAAATATAAATATATATATATATATATATATATATATATATATATATATATATATATATATATATATATATATATATATATATATATATATATATATATATATATATATATATATATATATATATATATATATATATATATATATATATATATATATATAATTATATATATAATTATATATATATAATTATTTGGGGCTCTTGGTTAATTATAATTATATATATATAATTATATATAAATAATTATATATATATATAATTATTTAAGGCTCTTGGTTGAGTAAAGGCTAGAGATGGTGTCTCGATAAAAATACTCATCTTGGGCAGATGTTACATGCATCCAGCTGCTGTCTTGTAGAAGGCCTCCTAGGCAAAGACTTAAGGGGTAAACAGATTCAATCTGTTGACCAGCCTCGCACCCCTTCCTCATCTATTAGGCTGGCACAGATGTATTTTTAATACATTGTTTCCAGTTTAGGATGTTGAACGCTGGATCTTCTTGACTCAATGCGTGGGTATTGCTTGTGTCTCTATTTTTATGACTGGGCAACTCATTCTATTATCTCCTAATGAGGGTACAGCTCTAAAACTCAGTTTTATGGTTCTGAGGCCGGCTGGTAGTCAGGTTTCCCGAACTCTGTGGTAGCTCTCAGAGAGGCTGATTCCATCAACAGCCGAAAAATATCAGAGTACTAACAGTGCCATGTTGCGCATGGATGGTGTCCCTGTTTGTACTTTTGGTGTGCATTGCAGAGGCTACATTTGGAGCCCTTTGTTACGGCTTAGGGTTTATTAATAGTAATGAGGCTATTGCTTAGTTGTTAAATAGTGTACTGAGTACTATCTATACTTGAGTCAAGTTCTTTATAAATTTAAAATGACTAAAGTACCTAAAACTAAAAAACACAAAAAACCATCGTCATCACCAAGTTCTCTAAACCTATCATTTACTAATATTCGTGGTCTTCGAAGTAACTTTTCTTCTGTTGAGTCTTATCTCTTGCAAAGTTCACCAGACCTACTTGCTCTTTGTGAGACTAATTTGAGTTCGGCTGTCCCATCTTGTGATCTTAGTGTTGATGGTTATCTTCCTTTAATTCGTAAAGACTCCAATAATCACATGCTTGGCCTGGGCATCTACATTCGTAAGAACTCACCCATTTGTCGTGAAACTAGGTTTGAATCTACAGACTATTCATTTATGTGCTTTCGTTTAGCACAACTTCACTCTATCGCCTTTCTCTTTGTTCTATATCGCTCTCCTTCATCCCAAGATTGCACTATTCTTGATGTTATTTCTGATCAAATTGACCAAGCCCTCTCTCTTTATCCATCGGCCAATATCGTCGTTGTTGGTGACTTTAATGCCCATCCCACCGATTGGCTTGGCTCTAGTGTCAGTGACTCTGCTGGCGTTAAGGCCCTCAACTTTTGCCTTTCTCAATCTCTAACTCAAATAGTCAACTTTCCAACTCATTTTCCAGACAACCCTAATCATTTACCTTCTCTACTCAACTTATGTCTTGTTTTGAATCCTAGTCAGTGCTCAATTTCTCCACATTCACCCTTAGGTACTTCTGAGCACGGTTTGATCTCTCTAAAACTATTATCAAATTCTTCTACTTCATCAGAATCCCCCTATCATCGTACCACATACAACTACCTTAAAGCTGACTGGGACTCTTTCCGTGATTTTCTTCGTGATGGCCCTTGGGTAGAAATCTTTCGTCTTCCTGCTGACAAATGTGCTTCTTACATAACTTCGTGGATTCAGGCTGGCATGGAATCTTTTATTCCCTCTCGACGATTCCAGGTCAAGCCTCACTCTTCTCCTTGGTTTTCCTCACATTGCGCTGCAGCAATTTCTAATCGAAACCGTTACTTCCATATATATCAGCAAAACAATTCTCCAGAAAACAGACATCTGTTCACTATCGCCAGAAACCATTGTAAAAAGGTTTTGTCTGACGCCAAAGCTCGCTATTCTCAGGTCATTAAATCTCGTATCTCATCACAAAAATTAGGCTCTCGAGACTTCTGGAGAATCTTTAACAGTATCAATAATAAGGGCAAATCTGTTATTCCTTCTCTCTTGTATGGTTCAGACTTTGTCACCTCACCTAAAGACAAAGCTGAATTGTTTGCTAAGAACTTTTCATCAATATCATCTCTTGATTCCACTAGTTGCGTTTTACCTGACATAGCCGTCAAACAGGTTGATCCCTTGCTTGACATTCGCATCACTTCAGCTTCTGTATCTAAAGTAATTTCCTGCTTAGACTCTTCAACAGCTTGTGGTCCTGACAACATTCCTGTTGTAGTTTTGCAGAGGTGTTCTCCGGAGCTTTCATCCATACTTTCTAAACTATTTAACAAGTGCTTATCAGAGTCTTGTTTTCCATCATGCTGGAAAGCAGCATCTGTTATCCCTATTTTCAAAAATTCCGGAGAGCGATCTGATTCATCTAACTACCGTCCCATTAGTCTTCTTCCTGTCATAAGCAAGGTTTTTGAATCTTTAATCAACAAACACTTAATCTCTCATCTTGAATCAAATAACTTACTTTCTGATCATCAATATGGATTTCGGTCTACTCGTTCTACAGTTGATGTGCTAACAGTAATAACCGATAGGTTTTACCGTGCATTAGATAGAGGTGGAGAGGTTAAGGCTATCGCACTTGACATTTCTAAAGCTTTTGATAAAGTTTGGCATGCTGGTCTTCTCCATAAGCTTTCTTCTTATGGTGTAGCTGGTAACGTCTTTAAGATTATTGAGTCCTTTCTTTCCAATCGTAGTATAAAAGTTGTCCTCGATGGACAACACTCTTCTTCACATCCTGTAACTTCAGGGGTTCCTCAAGGTTCAATCCTTGGCCCTATACTCTTTTTAATTTACATTAACGATCTTCCAGATATTCTCACATCTAAGGTGGCATTATTCGCTGACGACACTACCATTTACTCTTGTCATGATAAGAAGCCTACACTCTCTGATTGCTTGGAGGGGGTATATGAGCTTGAAAAGGATCTCACTTCTGCTACAGCATGGGGCTCACAGTGGCTGGTGAACTTTAATTCAGATAAAACTCAATTTTATTCGGCCAATCGTTATCGTAATAATTTAGATCTTCCTATATTTATGAATGGTAATGTACTAGATGAGTCATCTACCATTCATCTTCTAGGATTAACTCTTACTTCTGATCTTTCTTTTAAACCGTATATCAAATCCATTGCAAAATTAGCATCTGCTAAGGTTGCATCTCTTTATCGAGCTCGACATTTTCTTACTCCAGATTCTATTCTCTATCTCTATAAATCTCAAATCCGTCCCTGTATGGAATACTGTTGCCACATCTGGGGCGGATCTTCTAATGATGCTCTTTCTCTTTTAGACAAGGTGCAAAAACGAATTGTAAACATAGTTGGACCTGCTCTGGCAGCCAATCTCCAACCTTTGTCACATCGTCGTAATGTTGCTTCTCTTTCTCTTTTCTACAAATACTATAATGGGCACTGCTCTAAAGAGCTAGCGTCCCTTGTGCCATCTACTAAAATTCATTCTCGTGTTACTAGCCATTCAATTAAGTCTCATCCTTTTTCTGTGACTGTTCCTAAGTGCTTCAAAAACTCTTATTCTTCTAGTTTTTTTCCTCGAACATCAGTTCTTTGGAATTCGCTTCCTTCATCTTGCTTTCCTGATTCATATAACTTGCAATCTTTTAAGTCATCAGTCAATCGTTATCTTGCTCTACAGATTTAGTCTTTTCTCTTCCAGTAACTTCCAACTCTTATAGTGGTTGCTTGCAGCCTTGTTGGAAGTGAAGATGTTAAAAAAAATATATATATATATATATATATATATATATATAACTATATATATATAATTATATATATATAATTATATATATATAATTATATATATATATAATTATATATATATAATTATATATATAAGGGTACTAGCTAGCCCAAAGGCACCGCATATAACATGGAATTCCTAAAACTTAATGACTTTTTCTTTGATTTTCAATTCATTTTGGTAATAATACATAAAATAAAACTCATTTTTGTTACTACAAAAATAAAAATCGTTTTCTTTTTTTACCTTATAGAGAATAGTTAAATGTAGTTAAAACTTACGTAGAGCTTTCTGTCTTTCATTTAAATGTTCTTTCTGTCTAAAATAATAATAATTATAAAAAAAATTAAATTAACAAATGAATACTAGATGATTCTACTTGCTAAAATATATTTCTAATACCGGAAATACTAACTTTTGTTTTTTTTCTTGTTTGTGAATGGATTTAGATATCTGTGAGGCCTTTCTTGAGTTGGGATGTATTTCTTTATTAGATTTTCCTTTCTTTATCTTCTCAGCTTTAGGCTGAAAGTTTTCAATACTTTAACATTGGTGCAATCAAGATAACAATTTTAATTGTAAAATTGTATGCTATCATTGTTTTTAATGGATAAATAGTGTAATATTAAACAAAGTAAAATGATGTTAAAATAATTTCTCTGGAAGATCACTGAACATGTGTTTGCTATACTATTATCACACATGATAATATTATTCAACACTACATACATACATACATACATACATACATACATACATACATACATACATACATACATACATACATACATACATACATACATACATACATACATACATACATACATACATACATACATATATTAAATACATACATAAATACACACATACATACATACATACACACATACATACATACATACATACATACATGCATACATACATACATACATACAGGGATGCCGGAAATTGTATAGAGCATTTGTTATAAAAGGACACACACAATTACATTCAGAGCCGTCCCAAAGAAGTCTCTCATGGGGAGGGGGGGTTGTCATGTGTTTTTTGCCAACTAGAGACACACAAAAATAAAAAAAAATAAAAAAAAGTTCCTTGATATTTGTCATTTGCCAACTATACTTGAAAACTTGCCGACTGAAATGCTAAATGTGCTAACTCAAATGCATATATAAAAGTTTTTGGGGGTTGAAATTAAAATACATACATACATTAGGGTGTCCTAAAAATATGTAGAAAAACCTTTTTTTTCTAAACTTCTCTTATACACCCAAACTTCCTTGTCCATATAAAGGTAGAAGATAAATACATACTAAAAAAATTGCACTCAGATCATTTTAAGTGCTTACTGTAAAATTCCTAAATCTTCCTTTTTTCAGCTAAAAAAGATCAAAATTAAATAACTGAGGCTACAATTTTTTTATTCATAAATTTATCTTATTATTATTAACTGACAGTATACTTCTTTAATTCACAGATATATCTCATTATATATTATTAATTAAATTTTCATAAGTTTGTTTTGAGTTATTTTCTTTGTTACTTTTTTTCTCTCCTCTCTTGTTATCAATAGTATATTTTGACACTGTCCTTCCTTTTTGAGAATATTTTTAAAAGTCATTTATCAATCCAATGTTTCTTTCAGCGCAGTCGTTAGTTACACTAAGTCTTTTTAAAAAATTTTCAAAAACACTATATGATTCAGTTTTCAAAAAGGATGAGAATGAACCCAATCTTTGGCTTGATTTACAATTCCTAGGCATATAAATATAAACCAGCTCTCAGCAGTAACAAGCTCTGAAAACTTGCTGCTTAGTAAGATTAAAACAAGAATATTTTTTTTCCATATTTTTCTTTTTTCTAGCTCTGGAACCGGAAAGGAAATTAATGACTTCAAAATCTGATACTTGACAAATGTTTCCAAGTGAGAGTCAACTAGTGAAAACACAACTACTGCTGGAGAAAGATACCATGAATGTTTAAAAAAACTTTTAATCAAATTTCCTTTTTATTTTCATCAGGTAAAAAGGTTATAATAGTGGACGTCATTTCTAGTGTAAGAATATACAAAGCATTTTGCTTTATGACAAGCTCCAGGTTGATGAATTTTAAATTCATTAAACTTATCAGATTTGACGCTAAGATAAAAAGCCAAATATTTTACAAGGTTGATATAGTCATTTCTTGGAAAAAAAAATTTCTCCAATGAATACTTTGCATAATCTTTAGCTGCTAGCACCAAGATGTGAAGCTTGTAAACCTATTTCCTGCTTGTTCCAAATTTTTTCAGTTCTGGAATTCTTGAATTTCATTAGAAGTTTTCCAGTGTGTTTGGAAAGCTAAGTACAAAGATTTGCCTGGACCCTTAGATTTAACTTTTTTGCTTGTATTGAATGAGTTATATGGAGTTCATATATGTAGTGACGACACATAAATCAAAACAAACATTTATTAAGAATTCTACTAATTATTAATACAGCTTCATTTAGTCTATCTGTATTACTTGATATAGTATCAGTACAGACTCTAATTATATTATCAGCTATTTCAAAATACTCAGCTATAATTCCAAGTAATCTACACCTATAATTCCAAGTAGGCGATCATCTTTTGTATTAAATTCAGGACTGGCAACAGATAAGGAAAGGGTTGTGCCCTTTCCTTTTTAACTGTAATTTTTAACTTTTTCCTTTATTTCTTTTACCAACTTACTGTCAAAGTGCAAGATCAAATTCTTTCCCAACCTTCCTTTATAATGGCTTGATCTGATGGGGGCTCCTTAATTAAAAAAGACTTTTTTCTTTTTATAATCATTATTTTTTGTTTTAATATAAATATTTTGAATGCAAAAAAATTTACCTAAATCTTAATCATTAAACTTAAATCTACTTCTAGCTATTGAGCTTCCAAATAAAAGTTAAATGAAACCATTATTAAAAATAACTAAAATTTTTTGAATTAAAGATTAGATATAATTTATCTGATCCCTCTCATCTGAGTCATGAGAGATCACTTCATCCATTTCTAAATCAATTTGCAATCCAATTTAAAATTTTTACTAACTCTGCATTTTTCTTCATAAAATCTCATTCTTTCATACCTTATAACTCTCCTTTGAACTTTTTGTTTCATATCAATGTCATTTTTTTCCCTCACCACACCTCTCCTCGATGTTCTTTGATCTTGAAGAAAAGCCAAATCTTCTATCACTGGAGCATTTGATAATGGCATATCTTTATCTGATTTTATTTTTGCTTCTATGTTTGTATGTATGAAATTATTATAAATATTTATTTTTTTATAATTTTTAAAAACTTAACTACCCAAAAGATTCTTTTGTCAAGAGTAAAAATTTGATTAGTTGTTTTTTTATCGAAAAAAAAAGATTGGTTTAAGTTTGTTTACGTTTTCTAAAAAGGTAATCAAGATTGCCACTTTCAAAGTTGATATATTTAAAAATCAATATTTTAAATAAAATAATGTTAATATATTCAAAAAACAATATTTTAAAAATAGCTGTTATTCCAAAAAGGAAAAAAAAAATCAATTAGTACCCAAATTATCAATGTTTTAAAAACACATCAATATATATTGTTTTTAAAATTTCCTAATATTTGGAACAGTGATCAAGAAAAGTTTGTTAATATACTACTAGTTGATCAGTTACCACCTATATCCTAATACTAAGCTAAAGTTTTTTTTAAAAAAAGTTTACAGATATCTTTTGAACCATGAAAAACAACAGCTATTAGATTTGTTAAAAGAGTAAGTTTTCATTTAGATGCAGAGGAAATACCAAAATTAAGAAAAGCTCAGAACATTTAATAAAACCCGTTTTTTTAATTTCTGCAGTAAGCACTTAGAGTGGTCTTTTAAATCATTTTTCAATACTAGCAGTCTTCTATAAGTGTATTGACAAGGAATTTGATGTGTACAATTTTTTTTTTTTTTTTTCATTTTTTTGGGACACCCTAACATACATACATACATACATTTTTAATCATTGTCATTCAGTTTATACAATCACATTATACTTTATCATTCTTATATTATTTCAATCCTTATCAAGACTCAACTAAATCCACTTCAAGTTCATACAATATTAACATCTCTAAAAAAGTTACTAAAGATCGAGATACTGGACAATAAGATCCTTAGTATAGGATCTAGTTATCTATTATATAGAGAATCTAGTAGACTATAATTTAATAAATCTAGTTGTCTCAATCTTTCAGAACTCATTAAAAATCAAACCTAAATAAACCACTAGAGTCAACCACTAGAGTCAACCATTAGTTTCAAAGTTTTAAAAATGATTAGAAAATGTAATCAGTTTAAATGTTATTTTCAATCTTGTACAAACAAAAACTATAATTATTTTTAATAAAGGTTAAAGATGGAAGTTGTTGTTTACCTCAGGTTGCAATTTTAATTATTAACACTGCTAACAGGCACATAGAATTATTAATTATTCCAGAGTCTAATAGAAACATAAATTGTTAGTTGAGGCCTTAATTTTGATTGTGTTTTTCTTGGGTTAAACTAGAATATAAGTTTATTTTATTTAGTCCATTTTTAATTTTGAATTGTTGTATTTGGTCTCCTCTTAATCGTCTTTCTTCCAGTGTTGTCAGACCAAGACAGCGGATCCTTTCCTCGTATGTTTTACCACTAATTTCTTGGACTAGTTTAGTTGCCCTTTTTTGGACTGATTCAATTGCTTTGATATCTTTTAATTTATTAGGATTCCATACTGAAGCACTGTAATGTGGCCTCACCATTGACGTGAAGACCATATTAAAAGTGGTAATGTTAATGTATTTGAATGAATGAAAGCTGACCCAATATACGATTTGACATTGCTATTACAGAATGGATTTGCGGGTCCCAATTTTAAGTCAGCGCTGAGGATCACTCCTAGGTCTTTCTCAAACTCTACCTTTAATAACTGATGCCAATTTACCTGATAATTATACTTTTGATTTGATTTCTCAATGTGAATTACTTTACATTTGCTCTCATTTAAAGACATTCGCCATGTTTCGCACCATTTTGATATAATGTTAATATCATTTTGTAAACTGATCGAATTGTTTTTATCTTTTATGATTCCAATCATTTTTGTGTCATCTGCAAAAAGTTTTGGATTATTTTTGATTTGTGATGCCAGGTCAATTATAAAAATTAAAATAACAATATTTTAATTTTTACAATTGTTTTTATAAAAAAAATATTAGGGGAATGCCACGTAGCCCCGGATGGCAGGTAATTCAGGACACTTGATGTACAACTTGAACTAAAGATGCTATGTGATTTTAAATATTATTATAAAAACATTTGAGTGAAAACATGGCATATGCAAAATATCTATCATAATATGCTAAAACTATGATGATAAGACTTATAAATTTTTATAAAAAAAACATTTTTAAAAATTCAAATAAAAAAACTTCTACCAAACTCAAGATAACGAAGGAGCTGAATTAACAATTATTTATTTAATTTAATCCAAATTAGATTTTTCATGAATTCTTAACTTCTTTTTACTTTATTTAATTTGACTTTTTTGTTTAATACATTTTGGAATACAGCTCATGACTAACTCAAATTTTTTTTAAAATCTAACATTAAAAGTCTACATTTATATAAAATAATAAAAAAAAAAGGAATTGTTAAAGAAATAATTTAAGTGCTATTTAATAACTGCATCAATTAAAATCATAAACCTTGAAAATAAAAACTAGTTTGGTACTTTTTAATTCTTTACTTTTTTTATACAACAAAATAAAAAGTCTAAGAGTTTTTTTTTTTTATTAATGGATAAATAATTGTTGGATGTTCCTATAAAGGAATTCATGTATTCAAATTTAGAAAATCAGTTACTACAATTATAACATTATGGTACTTTGAAAATAACAATGCAATCAATTAAATCAAATCATTATTAAGATTATATAAGGGTTGTAGATTAATTTATAAATGTTTTCATAAATGTTAACGTGGATTTAAACAATATATATATTGTTGTCAAAATCAGCAAATCTATTATAAGTAGTAGATTCACAGATTTCCACTATTCCTGACATTATATACCTTTTTTCTCTTGAGAAATTTAAAATATAAGAATTTTTCTGTTTATTTTTAACTTATTAGTTTTTTTCTAATATATTTATAAACATTTTTACATAAACTGTATCAAGAGCCATACAATAGAGGGGGGGGGGGGGTAAATAGGTTTCTGTTCCCCCTAGGCTTTAGTTGGCAAAAAATAGATACACTACCCCTTTCCTTTAAGATCTCTTCAGAATGGCCCTGAGTGTATTAATATGATTAAAGAAATTACAATTTAAGTATAATATTAATTATATAATTATAATTATAATTATTAAATTATTATTCATTTGTACTTTACAGTTATAGCTTTTATCTAATGTTAGCTTGGTTTCATAGGTTGTTTAACCTTGTCAGTATTTAACTTGGGCAATGAAAACTCAAAAAAGGAAAAACAGTTAGAACAGATGCATTGTCTTTTAGATAACATAGGAGTAGACTATATTTTCAAACTAATATGTTACACCATTTATTCATAAAATATGTTTATTTACTCACTAAATTTTGTAAAACCACAATAAGTCCATTTGTGAAGAATGACTCAATTAGATCAATTGCTTTTTACCCTGCTATGTCAAAACTATTTGTAAGTATTTTGTTGAAGAAAACCAATGCACATTATATTGATAAAAATGATGATTATTTCTTTAAAGAAAATACTCAACAACATTCTAAAGAAAGTCATGTTTTTGCTTGTTTTGGTTTAAAATTGTAATAAAGCATTTGAGAGTGTTGATTGCTGCTTGTTATTCTGGTAACAATTGGACAAGGTTGAACTTTGGTATAATAACCAACAAATGTTTGTTAGATAGCAAGAAACAAAATACAAAATTTTGGAGTTGGAAATAGTGTGTGTAAAAGGTAATTTGTCACCTTTTCTTTCCAAATTTTAAATGAAAAACCTAATACATAATTGTATTAACAATATATTCAAAAAATGAAAAACCAAATAGAATTTATTAACTGAATTGAGCTTAGCACGTTTTAAACTTTTGATGAGTCTTTTAAATACTTTATTTATGTAATCAAAAATGACCTAGTGGATTATCCTGATATAATCAAAAAATAAAAATATCTATACTGACGAACAATTAATTTGATTAAATATTCTACCAGTGTAAAGGTTAATATGTTGAAATTACATTGCATTTGTTTATATGGTGCTCCTCTGTAGCAAAATTATGTTATAACAATGTCACCCTTTCAGGGCTATAAAAAATGTGTTAAAAAGTTGTTAGAGCAGAGATTATCGTCGTTAAATATCATTATGATGTTAATTTATTTTTACCTTCCTCATCAATATTACTTGCTGGTACTTACTTAAATTGCAGGATACTTTTATATTAACTTACTATTAAGGTATAATTACTTTAAAATACCAGTAATACTACTTTATTTATTTATTATGATATCACCATACTGGTATATAATGACATGACAAAACATTAAGAGAATATATTAAAAAATCTTTTACCATTTTTGTTATTCTTGCGGCGAACGTGACGTCACTTTAACTAACTAAACGGCTACCATTATGGTATGGGGGCAAACAAAGCGCTTGAAAATGGAGAAATGTGTTTCTGATTGTTCAATTAATGTTAATAGTCATCCGAACTTGACTTTTTATATTTTGCTTCCTGATCCAAAGAGAAGAAAATCGGGGCTTTATGCTTTATATAGAACTGATTCATCTTGCAAAAACAAACTTTGGTCGCAAAACATGTCTAAGTATGCTCAAAACATTTTGTATCTGGCAAGTTTTGTATTTGAATCGTCAAAATATTTGATCACAAATTTTTCTTGAACTTATTAAGTTTTTTTCGTCTATATATTTTTATTCATTGTAAGTATGTTTCTCTTTTAGGAAAAAAAAGAACATAGTCTAGATGCTTTTCAAAATTTTGAAAAGCATGTTGACTATGTTCATTCAGTAAATATGTTAGGTGCTAAAAAAATATATAGTGAAAACATCCTTCCAACATAACCAATTGTTATGTGAAATGAAAGGAGAATAAATAGATTAAACAATTCAATTAGTATATACTACAAGTATTGGTATGTACTGTATAAACAACAAGATAAACTATATAATATAGTTTTTCTTGTTGTTTAAAATGTTTTTGTAAAAACTGTTTATGTAATAGTTACAATTTATTTTTGTTATGCATTGATGCATTGTATATAAAAATATTAATGCCTAAAAATAAGCATTTATAAATCATGTGTTTATTGTTTTTATTTTTAAATAAATTAATGTTCAATAGCTTGTTAAGCACAAATTTTGTATTTACTATATACCTCAAACATGCTTATATTTTTTTAGAATATTATGTACAAAAAAGTCATTGCAATAAATCTCAAGTTATTCAAGTCAGTGAACAAATAAGTACTGACAATTCGTTGACTGGAGTGGAAGATGTTAGTGTCTCGTACCAACATGAAACAACAAGTTAACTTAGCTGAGAATGATGGTAGTTTAAAAGTAATGCAGCATTGGCTAGGTAAGTGATTATGTGTATGTTGGCTCACTCATAAGTCAATATATATGTGTTTATGTTCTGTGTCGACCTCTGGTATCGTGTTGGCTCACCCTTTAGACATTATATGTGTGTTTGTGTTCTGTTTCAACCTCTAGTGCGGTGTTGATTATCTTGTAAGTCATTATGTGTATAATTTTATTTTGTTTTATTGTGTTATTATAGTGATGTTATTGTTGTGATGCTTTGTGTTGATAGACAACTTTGTTTACCTTCTCGTTGGTGCCTCTTGCTACAAATGATTATTAGATTTTTTTACTTAAACTCGTTACTTCTAATCATTTACTAATAGGCAAGAAACATGTTTTAAAGTAAAGCATACTTTTAATGTTGTCATTTTTAATCTTTAGGATTGTTCCTAGGTCACAAAAACAATCTTACAAAGTAAGTTTCTTCTTTACTATTTATTTAGTTATATTTTTAATTAAATTTTTATTTTTCATGTTAACATGATACATAAATCATTAATTTGTAAATGCTTTCAGCATAAATTGGTTCTATTTTCTTTAGTAGAGTTTCTGCTGTTGTTACTGATTTTAGAGAGTACCTTCGTGAATGAAGATAAAAAGTCATTTATGTTATTTTTTAAAAGCCAAGACATAATATTGTTAATCCTCATACTATTTACTAAAAAACTTTATAAATATTGTTACGATGTTATAATTCAAGTTGTTGTAATTAGTAATTTTGATCATTTCATTATTATACTGTAAAAAATATTTTTTATTTATAACAATTATTTCACATATATTAAAAACATGAGGAATAAATATTACACTGAGGAAAATTTTAAGCAAAATATAGAATTTTTAAATGTTATTAGAATATCAATATGTAATATTTTTGTTTTATTTATTGACTACATCTGTAAACTGTGCAATAATTTCAAAATGATGAATTAATTGAATTCCATGATTCCTTTAAGCATTTGTACAGATTTATTTCAATATAACGCTAAATATTGTTCTGGTAACGTTCAGCAGCTTTTTTAGATAACTTTTCTTGATAATCATAAGACATTTTCAAGGCGTTTAAGTAATGATGTACTGAAATCAGCGCGTTTGTTTGCCCCCATATCATAATGGTAGATATTTTTGTTTTTAATTACGCAATGATCACGTGGTTTTTTCGCCGCAAGAATATGTTAATTATCTATATTTCAAATTTTGAAGATTTAAAAATTCTAGAGCCAAAGAAGCGGCTGCTGATGAAGTGGTATGTCTGCGGTGTCTGTTTTCTCGCGCCTAATTCGGATGCCCATGAAACTCTAATTAGTGATATGCTCTAATCAGTGAATCAGCTCAAGTGTAAAAAATCTAACCACTTTTAAAAAGAGATAAGCAGATAATCTCATAAGATACAGTAATAACACAATAATAGCAACCCCCCTGTCCAGCCTAGGCTGCCGCTTCGAGGCCAGGACGTTTCCAGCAAGAAATAATTATTTTTTTTCTTAGTTAAAAAAAAAAATTTATTCAATGGTTTATAAAAACTAAAAAAAAGTTACAGTTAACTCTTTTCAACCTTAAATCTATTTTTAAAAAAACAAGTAATTTTCTTGTATACTGGTTGGAAAAATTTGTCTGCTGCATTGTTTACACCAGGCGAAACTTTTGCAGTATGCATGTAAATTTTGTTGCGTCGCGTCTGAAAATGTTTGCGTAAAATGTTTCTATCAGCATTAAAATAAATTAAAATTTACTAATTTTCAAAAAAATAACTCAAAAGAGTTATTTTTTTAAAAACTAGTCAAAAACTAGTCAATGGAGAAAAAGAAAGAACGCAATTGGCTGATATATTCTGATAAGAGTAGTAGTGTTTACAACAAACCTTGCTTCTTTTTCGGGAAAAGTAGGAGTTCTTTAAGGAGCAAAGATGGATTTTGCAACTGGAAAGTTGCTTATGACAATCAGTGAGCATGAACAACCTGCTGAACATGATAATTCAATCTCTTTTATTGTTAATTGAAGTGAATGCAGTTTGAGAACTGATTGTGATTTTGTTAAAGAGCTTCATAGTGAAAAGGAATATTAGAGAAGTGTATTGCTTTGGGTCGTGTCTGTCACCAAATTTCTTTCTTCCAGGTTAAGTTTATGAAAGAAATTTATATTCCAAACAAATTTCTCCATTTCAAGAGCTTTGTTTCCACTTTAACTGAACATGTTTAAGACATAAACTTTAAATTTGGAATTTTGGGAGTAGAATGTGAGAAGTATGATGGAGGGGGGGGGTTAGAGAGGCAACAATATGTATTTTGCTGGGAGCCAGGATGACCTAAATACGGGCCTAAATAATAGACAAAATAATAAAAAGAAAATTAATTTTTAAACACCTTTTTTCAAAAATAATAGACACCTTTTTTACCCTTTTTCCAAGATTAAAATAAAAATGGAGAGACTTTTTAACCCAGTTTTTTTGAGCGCACAATTGAGGGAGTCAGCGGTAATGTGATCTAAACTAGAATTACTTCATTTTTAGCAATCTGGAAAAGACTTTAAGGATCTTTTTAAAAATAACAGGAAAAAGTATGATTATCAGAAGGATAGTATTTATTATAAAGACAGGTGAAAAAATACACTGATATCTACTAAAAAATTAGGACACTACATTACTATGTTCTGCAATAACAAAAAGGTTAGGCAATTTTGTGTTTTCAAATTATTTGAAAATATTGTTAATAGAGTTGGTTAGGCTTAACGGATATTTTATCTAGGACTTGTTAATAATTCTTTTATATATCGCGAGGTTAGAATTATTTTGTTCTATCTCCACTTTTTGAAAAAAATGAGTTATTAATTGTGTCATGTACCTAAAAATATTGTTTTTCTACTATATTAAAACCTAAGTTAAAATCAAAAAAGTTTCGGAGAAAACATTAGTAATAAAAATCTTTTTATATGCCGTCTCCTAAAGTTTTTATTTTTTAAATCGTTTTATCTTGAAACAAAAAAATGTGGAGATAGAACAAAATAATTCTAACCTCGCGATATGTAAGATGCTCTAATTTATGTCTTCGTCACCAGAAACATCAGTTAGACCCAATTCAGTTGCCTCCTCGTCACCTTTAAGAGCAAGGTAATAGGGATGATAGACAGGCGATATGAATCGTATTATCTCAAAAAGAACACTTAGCTTTTCTTTTGTGAGTTTTCTAAAATTGTGGTACGGAGGCTCAAGTTCAAAATTGATAGTGCCAGATAGCCGTCCACGATTTCGCATTGCTACGTCCAGGAACATGAATGTGTAACTTTCTAAATGTGTTTGCTTCGTTTGAAATAAGCGTGGTGATCCTTTTTCCAATTTTATACAATTTTAAATGGCAAAAAATTTTCATTTCTAAAGACATGCTTTATCTTTAGCCATGAAACTTTTTCGATTTTTAATTTTTTTCTATTGGTTATCCCATTCTCCAATGATTTTGTACTGAGAAATTCGGCATAGTTTTTCCTCCTGCGATTGGGACTTTGCTGTGATTGAAAAAGCCAAAAAAACGAAGAACCAAATATTTGTTCCAGAACATTGGATAGACCTTATTAAAAATGCAAAGAAGAGGGCCCTGGTACAAAATATTTCTGTTCAATAGTTTTCAGAGATAGAGATTTGTGCAAAATGCATTGTAACATAAAAGGCATTTTTATATTACGATTTTGTCCAACACAACTTTTACTATATAATATTAAATGGGTTACAGTTTCTGGTATGTGTCAAAAAACATGCTCAAGGATACACGAGCCTACCTCTTGAATACCTTTGGATGCTTGTTCCTCACTCCATGCATACATAAATCCTGTTTTTAAGTTTACTTCATGGATTACAAGATTGTAAATCCACATTTGCCTTTTATAGTAGGCTATTCCAGTACTAAGCATTTGTGTCGGTAAAGTTTTTCGTAAGTCGAAAACTAATACCCACTTGTTTGGACTAAGCATTGGTGTCAGTAGAGTTTTTTGTAAGTCGAAAACTATTACCCACTTGTTTGGATTTGTATGAGCATCTATCCAGCTAGTACACATACGTTGTTAAAATATTAGAACAATTTCACGCGTTTCGTTGGCCCAACATTGGCTGCCAACGTTGTTTTTATATCATTATGGTTAAAAATGCGACGTCGCCAACAACTAAAAACCAATGTTGATAAAACTTTTAAAGTCAGAAATAGTTATATTTTCTACGTTAACACAACGTTTTATTATATACGTCGGCACAACGTTGTATTTTAAGTTGCTACAACGTTGTATTTACGTTGATTCAACGTTGAACTTTGGTTGGCAAAACATTGTATTCATTATTATTATTATTATTTTCAATATTTTATTAATCACCCTCTGTAAAATATATTTACAAGGTAAATCCACAAACTAAAAAAAAAGAGATAAAAAAAATATATTATTTAGGAATGTTTTCTTTAAGTTTCTTTTTAAAAAATTATTATTCGGAATTAAATTTTAATCATTATTATTCAGAATTAAATTTTTATTAAATTTACTTTATATATTTATAATATATAAAGAAATTAGATATATATATTAGATATATATATATATATATTTATATATAATATTTTTACATAATTTATATAGTATATTATATATGTATATGTACGCATATATATATATATATATATATATATATATATATATATATATATACCCAGCGGGCATTTTGACGTCCTAAGAACGTCCGTAAGACGTCTTAAGTCTCGTCCGTAAGACATCCTTAGTTGGTCTCAAATGAAAGGCTTGAGAACGTCTATTCCAGATGTCCTAAAGACGTCTTTTTAAGTCGTCCTAGAGACGTTTTTTGACGTTCTAGAGACATCTCTGGCTGGTCTAATTTTAAAGACTTAAGGACGTCTTTTTCAGACGTCCAAGAGACGTTTAAATTTTACCAAGACATTCTTTTAAAAAATATATAAAAATGCAATGATTTACAACACAAACCTTAGATTTGCCTTAATCTAGGCAAGGGAAGTTATAAAAAGAAATCAATGTAAATAAAGTGTAATTTGATATATTTAAAATAAATTAATAACTTTACAAAAAAAAAGAATAATTTTTCAAACAAAGTTACATTTTCAAATTAAAAACTAATAGGTACAGTAGAATATAATCGATAGTGCATTATAAATAGAAGAAAATTGCTTAAAAATGGAAAAAAATAAATAAAATACAACAGTTAAGCCATCATTGATCGAAATCCATATTAGTGGATGTTCTCTTTATTCGGTCAGAAGAATGCCTAATTACTTTTCCAATAAGTTGGATGGTATCCATTTTGATTTTTTATTTGACTTTAGTTTTTATTTGACTTTAAAGCTTTTTATTTGACTTTAAAGTTTTTATTTGACTTTAAAGCAGCTTCTAATAAAAACAACAAAACATGTTTCAAAAAGATCATTAAAAAAAATGTCATGTATACATACATGTCATGTTCCATAGCCAAAGAAATTAAATTTTTTAGCTTACTAATGTGTTTGATTAATTAAAAATTAAAAAACATCATTTTTAATTTTTAATTAATCAAACACATTATTAAGCTAATAATAATACCAGTGACAGCGTAACATAGACTAGTCAACTCTTTAAACTTTTTTTTCTTCTTTAGATAATTCATGCTGTATTCTGACAAAATAGTGTCTGTTGGCAGTCTACATAATAAAAAAGAAGATAAATGCTGTACTGCCAATCATAAATGTTAAAATTCAAACTTTTGCTAATTACTTACAAGAGCAAAATATTTTTAATTGTATCAGCTAGATTTTTACCCCCAATTAATGATAACTGTTTTACCTAAAAAGAAACAATGTATTAGAAACATTGAAAATGTTTATAACAATTTAAAATAAATATTGTAATAATATGTAACATATAAAATATAAAGTTGAAACTCATGTATACAAAAGTGATGTATTGGATATCTCCATTTGTGAAATTTTTTTTCAAAACATTAAATTTATCTGAACTTTTACGTTGTTTAAAACCTTCTTCTGGATTATTAGAGAACAGTGCAGTTCTATCTACTAAAATTTTTTTCATTTTAGCAAGTTGGAATATAATTTTTTTCTAAAACTCTGAAAAGTAAAATATATAAGTGAAGCCATATAAATAGTATATAAAATAGTAAATAGTACTTCCTATATATGGTTGAAAAGAGGTAGATTTAAACTGAATAATGCAAAAAATCTCAAGTTTCATGCTTAACCTTAAAAAAATATAGAAACAAATAAAGTTCAAGAAAATTATAGGGTTTTTGTCTAACGCCAAAAACTGTAAATAATTGCTTCCTATACACAAACGCACACACACACACTCATATATATATTAATATATATATATATATATATATATATATATATATATATATATATATATATATATATATATATATATATATATATATATATATATATATATATATATATATATATATATATATATATATATTAGGGTGTCCCAAAAAACAACATTTTTGAAAATAATCTGCTCTCACCCCCTAAATGTGTTCTATCTAATGCAAAAACACTAGGTTTAAGTTTTTTTTGAATAAAAAATATTTTAAGGGGTCCCTCAAGACCCTCGAATATTTAATGGGTCCCTAATATTTTCGAAAAAAAAGTTTTTCAAAAATATGTCAACCTGGTACTCAAATGAAGCGAAATTATATAAAAATTTTAAAAATAATATTCATTTCAAAAAAAAATTGTTATTTTTGGTTTTATTACAAAAAAAATTGCGTTTTTTAAGAAAAAATGAAAAAAATGCATTTCTAATGTTTTTTTATGATAATTTTGATAAGTTAAAAATATTTCGAAATGAATATTATTTTTGAAATATTTATATAATTTCGCTTCATTTGAGTACCAGGTTAACATATTTTTGAAAAACTTTTTTTCGAAAATATTGGGGACCCATTAAATATTTGAGGGTCTTGAGGGACCCCTTAAAAGATTTTTTATTCAAAAAAAAATTTAAACCTAGTGTTTTTGCATTAGATAGAACACATTTAGGGGGTGAGAGCAGATTATTTTCAAAAATGTTGTTTTTTAGGGCACCCTAATATATATATATATATATATATATATATATATATATATATATATATATATATATATATATATATATATATATATATATATATATATATATATATATATATATATATATATATATATATATATATATATATATATATATATATATATATATATATATATATATATATATATATGTATGAGAGTATGTAAATATATATATGTATGAGAGTATGTAAATATATATATATATATATATATATTTATATATGTATATATATGTATGTATATATATATATATATATATATATATATATACATACATATATATACATACATATATATACATATATAAATATATATATATATCTAAATATGTATATATATATCTATATACATATATAATATATATATATATATATATATATATATATATATATATATCTATATACATATATAATATATATATATATATATATATATATATATATATATATATATTGTATATATATATATATATATATATATATATATATATATATATATATATATATATATATATATATATATATATATATATATATATATATTGTATATATATATATATATATATATTGTATATATATATATATATATTATAAATATATAACATGTATATATATATATATATATATATATATATATATATATATATACATATATATATATGTATGAGAGTATGTAAATTATTATTTTATAAACATCAATAAATACAATTTTCTCTCAAGACTAAATTTATTTTTGATTTTTTATTTTTTAAAAGAAATTTTCGCTGGATTGTTGTGACCAGCGTTTTCAGCTTAAAAGATTTTGTTTGTTTTTGTTTATATGTTATTTTTAAATATATAAAACTAAAGTTTTCGGGCTTAGCAGGTTTTAAGCTCTTTTGGAATCAAATCTTTTGTACCAAGTTTCAGAATTGCAGCATTACTAAAAGCACCATATAAGGGTAATAATAAACAGAAACATTTTTGGCACTTTCAAGAAATAAATCAAGAAATAAATCCAAACTAAAAAGGAACAGCTACCCAGGAGTTTACCTTATTAAGTGCCATTGTAACAAAAAGTATATTGGTGAAATAAAAATGCAAATAAAAACATGCATGCAACAACACAAAAACAGTACAATAGGAAATAAAACAGAAAGATCAGCATTAGCCACACACATGAAACATTGTGCACAACAAATTAACTGGGACAGTTGCAGAACTCTAAAAGTCAATAACAAAAAGTTCGATAAAAAAGTTTGATAGGAAAGTTCGTGAGGCGCTTGAAATAAAGTACCACCAATGTGCCCCTCAACAAAGTGGTATCAATTTAGATGAGGGACAATATGTGTCAACAAAATTCTGGACACCATTTCTAATGCACTTACGTCAGAAAAAGACGAAACCATTCCATTGATATATAATAAAATTGCCGTTTAAAAATAACATATAAACAAAAACAAACAAAATCTTTTAAGCTGAAGACGCTGGTCACAACAATCCAGCGAAAATTTCTTTTAAAAAATAAAGAATAAAAAATAAATTTAGTATTGAGAGAAAATTGTATTTATTGATGTTTATAAAATAATAATATATATATAATATATATATATATATGTGTGTGTGTGTGTGTGTGTGTGTGTGTGTGTGTGTGTGTGTGTGTGTGTGTGTGTGTGTGTGTGTGTGTGCGGTGTGTGTGTGTGTAAGTTTGTGCATGTGTGTGTATTGATAAATGTAAATATAAAGTGTAAATGTAAATATTAATGTAAATATAAATGTAAATATAAAGATAAATATATATATATATATATATATATATATATATGTGTGTATGTGTGTGTGTGTGTGTGTGTGTGTGTGTGTGTGTGTGTGTGTGTGTGTGTGTGTGTGTGTGTGTGTGTGTAAGTTTGTGCATGTGTGTGTATAAATGTTGATATTTATCAATAATATGTGTGTAATAATATGTGTGATAAATGTTGATATTTATCAATACACACACATACAAAAGCATATTCATTATATATGTATATATATATATATATATATATATATATATATATATATATATATATATATATATACATAAATATATATATATATATATATATTTATATATATATATATATATATATATATATATATATATATATATATATATATATATATATATATATATATATATATATAATGAATATGTATGCATCATATAAACATTATAATATAATGTATAAATCATGTATATATAAATAATTATACATCAAATTAAATGAAACAACACAGTAACAAGGTGTCAACATACGTAATAATCTTAATAATTATTTATACAACCCATGATGGAAAAATCATAAAATGGAATGAAACAACACAGGAACAACAAAATATATACAATTTATTTATCCATTTACCTATTTCTACAGCCATGATATTACAAATCTTTGCATATATATATATATATATATATATATATATATATATATATATATATATATATATATATATATATATATATATATATATATATATATATATATAAATTAATATATATATAAATTAATATGTATATATTAATTTATATATAACACAGACACACAAAATATCAATATTATTCTATAAAACACAAAGTGAAAAGTCTGGGTGCAATTTTGATGTCTTTTTGTTAAAATTCCCTTATTATACTTGTAACTTAGTTACTCTTTTCTTTAAATATTGTATCGATTATAGTTTATAGATCATAGAGTATAGAATATAGAAAATTAAAAAATATCTTTAAACGATAAATAACTAAACAAAATAATAGTCTTAAAATAATCAACCAAAACAAGTAGACATACCAGGTATGAAATGAGCGTTTTTTGTGAAAATAAAACACTAATTATTAATGGGAAAGTATAAACATTTTATTCAAAGTATTGGCCATTGTTTTCTACACATTTTGACCACGTTTCTGGCAATTTGTGGATACCACGCCAATAAAATTTTTCTTTTTTTAAAGCAAACCAACCAGACACCCAATTTTCGACCTCCTCGTAGGAATCAAAATGCTGCTCAGCCAATGCGTGTTCCATCGATGAAAACAAATGGTAGTCGGAAGGAGCCAAGTCTGGTGAATACGGCGGGTGGGGTAGCAGCTCCCAGCCAAGTGTTTTGATTGTATCCTGAACCGGTTTTGCTTTGTGTGCAGGTGCATTGTCATGGAGCAAAATTACTTTGCCGTGTTTTCTGGCCCATTCTGGTCGTTTCTCGATCAATGCATGGTTCAAATTGATCATTTGTTGTCGGTAGCGATCAGTATTGACGGTTTCACCAGGTTTTAGGAGCTCTTTTCTCACCACACCTTTCTGGTCCCACCAAACACACAGCATTGTCTTCTTGCCGAATCGATCTGGTTTTGCAGTCGATGTTGATCGTTGTCCCGGATTAACCCATGATTTTTTCCGTTTAGGATTCTTAAAATAAATCCATTTTTCATCGCCAGTAACAATCCGATGCAAAACCGATTTTCTTTCGTGTCTTCGAAGCAAAGTTTTACAAGTGTTTTTTCGGTTTTCCATCTGTCTTTCATTCAATTCATGTGGCACCCATTTTCCACACTTTTGGATCTTTCCCATAGCTTCTAAACGGTTAGAAATTGTTTGTTGTGCAACATTTAACATTTCTGCCATTTGCTTTTGACTCAAAGTGTCATCTCCATCCAATATCGTTTGCAATTCGGCGTCTTCAAACTTTTTTGGTGGTCTTCCACGTTCTTCATTTCTCACATCAAAATCATTATTTCTGAACCGTTGAAACCATCTTTTGCATGTTGCTTCTAATAGAGCATGATCACCATATGCCTCGACAAGCATTCGATGCGACTCTGCAGCACTTTTCTTCAAATGAAAACAAAAAATTAATGCTTTCCGCAAATCATCACTTTCTGGTACAAAATTCGACATTTTTAACACGATGAAAAAATATGATGTTGTCTGTTCAATGACTTGATGTATACTAAATATGTTTCACAGATGTCATAGCAAACAAACAAAAAAAAATAAAGGCTCGTTCACAACAAATGTTCCCTATCGAGACATTTGTATCTTGACGCTCACTTCATACCGGTATACCTGGTATTTAAATAACCGAGTTTGCGCATAATATTGTATGCGCCAAGTTGATAGTATTAGTTTTTTTACTTATTTTTAAGGTAATTAGGACGTCTTATGTAGGTCTTAGCGACGTCAATAGGACGTCTAAATATTGAAGTCCTGATATCGTCTTTATATTAACGTCACAAGGACGTCGTAACAAAGACGTCTTTACCAGACGTCTTTAGGACGTCCTAATTTGGTCTGAGACGTCGCGACCTAGTTAAGACGTCCGTGGGGCGTTTGATTCACGTCTGTGCCCGGTGGGTATATATAAAGCCGACGTTGGCATCTTACATGTAAGTATAATAAATTAGGATCGCTTGATCATCGGAACAAAAATCATGTTTGTGTTGATTGTGGTTTAATATTTTAACAATCTCGGAAGATATTGTTTAAGTTATATAATTTCGTAATAGCTATATTTGGTTGAATATATTCGATCAACGTTGGATTTTGTATATTTGTTTTTATATTCGATCAACGTTGGAGTTAGTAAAAACAATCAACTTTTTGCGATGTATTTACATACATTGGATTAACATTGATTTATATACATTGAATCAACGTCGAAATATATATATTGGATCAACGTTGGGTTTAGATCGTAAAAACAATCAATCTGTTTCGATATTTTTACATACATTGGAAAAATGTTGATTTATATACATTGAATCAACGTCGAAATATATACATTAGATCAACATTGGGTTTAGATCGTAAAAACAATCAACTTTTTGCGATGTTTTTACATACATTGGATTAATGTAAATTTTCCAGATGTTTTTATTTCCGTCGGTAATAATTTTATCATTAACCAAATAACATTGGATCAACGTTGGTTTTGCATTGGAAAAAAGAGCCGACGTTTGCGATGGTTTTACAAACGTTGGCTCAATGTATGTGTCCTAGCAGGATAGTGTATCTTCTTTCATTTTTTCTTTTGCCTTTACAGCCATCTCTTAATAAATAACAAGGACCCTCCAAACAGTGCTCTTTTCTTCACCCTCTTACAGAAACTTTATTTTATTGCTAAATAGATCACATTTTTGGCATGTATCTGATTGCGGATGATGAAAGTGTAAATTAAATTTTGTATTGAATATGTGTCAAAATACAAAAATTAAAAGTATGGTGCGATCATTTTCATTGCAAATGCAAACATATTTCTCGTACATTATCAACATTCGCGACGTTGGAGGCAAATATTTTTTGTACTAGTTGTCCCTTCGGCTATAGTGGGATTGGTACGTTGGAAATAAGCAAATAAATCTTTGAAGATATTTTGTGTCTACAACACTACTTTTATTTTGTGGAGTCAATTTACCCCTGCGGTCTTTATAGGTGTACTATCTAATTTTTTTCTTGTCAAAATATTTGTTATTGTCCAATCAGGGATCTCCAATGTGTCTTTGAAGTAAGTTTTGCAAATCTTTTTAACATTTCCATTTGTATCAGCTAGTTTATAGGTACGACTATTTGTCCTACGGGAGTTATTTGATGCAGTATACGTCCTGTGTTTTTCTTTTACATCAAGAGAACCCATTACAAAGACGTTTTTTAAATCCCAGTTCATGGTGTAAAAGTAAAAAAAAATTGATTACGGCAAGCAACTGTTATTTTACTGCTGCACTCTTGATTGCAATCACAATCTATGTTAATAAAAATCTTTGGTGCAACCACTTTACCCTTTGTTGTAACATATCTTTCCTCCGTTGACCTTTTCTGTTTCAGAATATTTCTTTTGTGTAGTTCTGGATGAGCCACTCGCTTACAACTATGTCTTCTATTTTCTTCTAAAAAAAAACTGGGTTTCTTCTCGCGTTTTCTGGGAAAAGCTCTGGTTCTCTCCTACTTTTCTCCTTAATTTTTTTTTTTTAATTATTTTCTAATAAGAAAAGAATTCCTAACACAATAAACTAAATAACCTTAGCTAGTCTAATGTTAGCCTAACACCAATGTAAACAATCGGTCCTAGGCCGTAACAATAGTGACTAAAAAAGTCCTTGTGTAAACCTATTTATTTTTAGACAACATATTGATCCCAATAGCTGAATCTGCAATAAAATAGTGCATATCAGTTTTGAAAAAATTAGAAGAGAAAAACCTGCCTAAACAACATTGAGGCTAGAAACTATATAATTGTATGATAAACTCAATGAAAAGTATATTATGACGCTGCATTAATTATTTACATACCTTCGCTAACATGATCCGCTAAAAAATTATTGTTAAAAAAAAATTATATTTTTTCTTAACCTAAATCATAAATATTTGTACTTGTTTTTGGAAAATGTCGCTTGAATATATTTGATTTGTAATTGTATTTGTGTTTGATTGTATTTGATTAAACGTATTTGACCCCCTGATGGTTGCTGGTAGTCTTGTTGAAATGTTAAGATGGAAAAACCGCGTTTGTTTGCGCATACTGCAACATAAGACTTTTAATATAAAGTCGAGCTAAAACAACTAAACATGGAATATTATTACTATGAACTTTTTTTTTTTGTGATATTAAAAATGGCTATTGTAAGTTTTTTGTTTGCAGTTATTGTCATGCTTGTTAAGAATAATTTTATTTTTTGAGGAATAATTTAACTTATGCGATGTTTAGTTACCAGGAAAGCCTGTTGAGTTTGCTTTATAAAGGGTCTTATTAACTTAGTTTAACATAAAATGGTGTTTTTAAGAATTAAGTCCCTAAGAATGGTTTTCCCCTTAAATACTACATTGCATTAGCTGAAATATTCCTTTACGAACTAACTTTTAATAGCCATTAGATAGTTAATACTGTACGTTGTTGTTCAAATATGTTAGGCCAGGGTAATCATTTTTGAGATGATGACATGCTAAACATGTCATCTTCTCAAAATAATTTCCTCTTAATGACAATATCGATATTCACATTATGAGGAAATGACGAGGGTACAGTTTTTTCTATTGCAACTGTTTTTTTAGGTCAGAATTAATATAAAAGCTATTTTAAAAAATAAACTTATTGTAATAATGAAAAATAGTCAAAATTATTTTTTTAAAATAAGTTTATATGTTGTGTTAATTAATAGTTTATGAATCGTTAACTATTTTTTTAGTTTCGAAATCTTTTGAAATCTAAATAATAAGACTTTGTACTTTTTGACGCTCCATATTTTAGGTCCTCAATATGCTTATACAAGATTCTGAAAAGTAATTACTGAGACAACTTGTAATTGTTGTATATATTTAATATTAGTAGGTAAGAAATTCAGATAATGCTACACTTAAGCGCCCTAAAAATGCTCTCGTTCCTATAAACTTTAAAGTCATCTTAAAATATTTATTATAAATATTGTAATTATTATTGTAAATATTTTAATAATAATAATTATTATTTTATATTATCATTATAAATATCATTTATTATTTTATTGATATGTGCTTTTACACACTTCTTCGTTTTTTTATACGAAAAATAACTTTTTTTTTATGTCGCTTAACTTTAGCTTTGCCAGAGGTTGATCCTCGATACGCTATTCAACATTCTTTTTGACGTTTTATATTTTAGGTCCTTGATATGCTTACACAACATTCTGAATGTTTACAATACGTTTCTGTTTAGAGTATATAATTCTGTTAGCGTTTTTTGTAGGCTATAAATATATTGAAGTTTTGATAGTTGATGAAACATTAAATTATTAAAACAGATTTTGTAATTTTTGAATGGATATATCTTATTTAGGGAAGCCATAACAAATTAGCAACAACTATCTTCTGTATTCTACTGTATCTTTTGAAGAGACTTGATGACATTTTGTTATTTATTCGACCCAGTTAGATTATAAAAAATATAAACTAAAACTTTAAACTATAAATGATAACAATCTAAAATGTGTACATCAAAGTAGGTATTAATAACAAAATGTTATTGTAAATATATATAATTGTAAATTATTTTTTTGTTTTAAAAATCGTTCACTTAAGAAAATATTAAAGAATATTAAAGAATTACAAATTTAACTATTTATCAGGCTATTATTTTTCTCTTCTCTAAGAATGAAAAGTTTATACATTGAAATTTATATTAATTTTTGGTGTTTTGTTACGACGATAAAGAAATTTATTGTTTTTTTGCTTCTAAAATTTGCATTAAGATTAAAAGTTTGACCTGTTTTATATATAAAAATATAATTATACTACTGAGCAATACTTTTCACCAAGAAAACAAGCGATAATTTTGTATATATATATATATATATATATATATATATATATATATATATATATATATATATATATATATATATATATATATATATATATATATATATATATATATATATATATACTTCTATCCTAAATCAAATTTTATTTTGATTACGGTTTCACTAATTTATAAAAAAGAAAGAAAAGTAAAAAGTCTGGTTTATTTATTATAATGACAAGTTTTCTTTTTTTACTGATGATAGTTGATAGATGTACTTCAAAGAAATATTTTTACCAACATGACTTTTAGATACCTTAACACTTTTAACAGATAATGTTTTTCTGCCAAATAATACATTTAACTTTTTTTTAAAAGCTAATCTAACTTGAGGAGAAGCAAATATATAGACAAATGCATCAGTCCAAACAGATATAGGAAAACTTATCCTCTTATATAAAGCTATATGAGATATAATCTTTGAATTATTTAAATCTTCGCTTTTAAGAATTAATGCTAAAAGTACTTCAGGTATTGCCACTAAGACAATAAATATTAGTAGTATGCTACTTGATACTAATGAGCCCTTAAATATGCTTCTTTGATGGGAACAAAGACTTTTTTGCCTACGAATAAGTAAAACAGCATATGTATAGAAAAATGCAAAACAAGTAATTATTATTACATCATAACACGCAGCAATATAAATTTGAATATATGATTGATTTTTGTAAACTTCAATTAAAATTCCGCTTAACCCAGAAATACTCCATATGGTTGTTGTTAAAATGATGGATTTCCCTTTCGTCCAGTAGGCCGCGTACTTTATGTTTAGTTTTATATGTAAGTATCTGTCGAACACCAACCAAAATGTGACGTAATAATATCCCGTACCAAGAACACTTTTAAGTTCGTCATAAATCTGCAAAATACGTTTAACACGCACTCCATCATCAAATGTTTTAGTGAATTCTTCAATTTGAAAACATATACTTAAACAAGTGTTTATTAAACAAAGTTGAATTAGTATGCATCGCTGCGTTGAATCAAATCCATTTTTGAACATAAGTAAAACAAATAATCCAACTCCACTGGAAATTAATCCAATGTTACAATTAGTTAAGATTGCAATCTTCCATTTTTCATCCATTTTACTTTAAAAATGCCGCGTAAAAATCAAATTTTCATCAGTCAAAGTGATATTGTCTTTTATTCTTATTGGATTTTATCATTTTTTGTTGTTTCTTTTTTCTTTTTTTCTAATTAAAAAAAAAGATTACTTTTAAATAAACTTATTATTTTATTCTCTTTAAACGTTTAAATAGAACAAATGAATGATACAAAAACAAAGCACCTGAGATTGCTGATTTTACCAATACTGATTAAAAGACTTCATAAAACAATTACCCGCCTTCTAACTGTTTTAAATAACCCACTAACACCACGCGTCTGAATCTGATTTCCATGATTTCAATATTATTTATAATTTAACGCAATTTGTAAAGTTTTATCTAGATCGGCGGATCTTTTATCGACTTCTTGTTAGAAAAAGATAAAGATTTTAATAGCACTCATCAAGAATAGTCTGTCAAAAATGTTAACAACTGCTAGCCGTAAATAATCATTCGGTTTAAATCCAGTGGAATTACAAACAAACCCCTGTAGCGGTGTTTTTTATTATATAATAATAAAAAAATATCGATTATTTTTCATATAACATTTTACCTAACATTATCTTTATAATAAACGTATAAAATAAATGCAAAAGGAATTTTTTTTGTAAAGGTTGTATAATATACGCTCACACTGTTTAGGTGTTTTGTTTTTGTCTTTTTATATTAACATTTTTAAAAATGTGTTATCGTAAAACAACTTTAATTTTTTTTTGGTTGTTAAGGTGCTCCCAGAAGTCCTTAAAGTCTTATCACATAACAACGCGGTCCTTAAAATCACATAGCAACGCGTAAGAGCATTTAATTAGAAAGTTCTCGCCAGCTTCCTTACTTTCCAATGTCGCTTAAATGGCGTCGTTTTAATTTTATCAATTTCTTATTTAAAAACCTTTTGAATTTCATCTTTTTCCAAAACAAGAAATCTACACCAATAAACATGTTTCAAAGCTACTACAATAAAGCATTCATAATAAAAACTAATTTTATCAAAACAAAAACTCTACAAAATCTTGGGTTAACACTGGAAATCATGAAAAACCTCACAAAAAAGAAAACATTGGATGAAAAATTCATTAAAATTGTAAAAACTATAAAGGTTTATTTTGGAAACAATTTTAACGCAGTTTTACTATTATTGCAAATTATCAAAATACAAAAACAATATAAAAAAACTTGGAGCATAATGAAAGATCTTTTAGATAAAAAAATACGAATATTAATTATTTCCAACTTAAGCTCATTATAAGCAATATTATCAACAACTCTTTAATTGCTAATTCATTTAACCATGCTTTTGCCAACACAGGCCCAAGTTTTTCATCAAAAATAAATAAAAAAGGAAACAGTTTGGATGGCCAACCACTATTATTACATCATAGAAAAACCATCAAAATCAAAATAACAGTATCATAATTATTTATTGTTGAGCACATACTATAACCAAGTTCTTGGAGTTGATGTAAGCATTAATTTAAAAGTTTAATTAAAACCTCATTCAAAAACTCTACTTTTGAATTTCATTTTTATCTAAAACAAAGAATTTTAAGTTTGTAAAGGTGATATCAATCCTTAAGTGGGAAAATGATAAAAGTTAATTAAAGACTAAACTATCTTGTTTTTCTGTGCAAATCTAACTCTACACCATGTTTTTCAAAGTTATTAGAGAACATTATGTATAAAAGGTTGTTTAACTTTTTAAATACCAAAATTATTATAATCAGGCAAGATCTCGTTCGATCTCTTTTAAATTTATTTGCTGACAATACAATAAAACACACATAATATTTAATTTTAATAAATGGTTTAGTGCAAACAAACATTCACTAAATCTAACTTTCTGAAAATTATATTTCTTGGTTTACTTTTTTACGAAAGTTTAACGTGGAGGGATTTTATACATAATCTTGAACAAAATAACAAAGAACATCAGTCTTCATTAACAGAGTTGACAGAGCAGTGGAATGGTCACACATTTGGCTCTTAATTTTCAACATTGAGAAATGCAAAGTAATGTAACAAGTCGGATGTAACAAGCCGACGTACAAATACTCAATGTCTAACGTCGACGGCACCCGTCGTCCTCTCAAAAAAACCGCAGTTGAAAGAGAATTCGGTGTGATGGTCTCGAATGATCTTAAAGTCAAACCGCAAATAGAGTCAGCCGCATCAGTAGCAAATAGAATGCTAGGGCGACTCAAAAAAACATTTCGTAGTCGCAGCTTTTATTTATAGCGCACTCTGTATTTCACTTACATTCGCCCCCATCTTGAGTTTACTTTTCAAGCCTGGTCACCGCATTTAAAATCAGACATTGCCATTCTTGAGCAAGTCCAACAACGAGCAACAAAAACAATATCGACTATTAAACACCTGTCCTATGAAGATCGACTCCAACGGCTCGGTTTAACAACTCTTGAAGAACGCCGCAAAAGAGCAGATCTTATCGAGCAATTTAAAATCACTCGTAAACTCGAGCTTGTCAGTTTTGTCTTTCCGCAAATATTTTCAAAAAGTAAAGATAAGTATATTTTAAGAGACCATAACCATAAACTAGAACGTCAGATGGTAAAAAACTGTGAGGAGCGATATAACTTTTTATAAAATAGAATTGTCGCCCCAAGGAATGCGCTTTGGCAAGAAGCAGTGAACGCTCAATCCATCAACGCTTTCAAAAACAACATAAGAAAGTAACTTTATAGATACAACTGCTGCTTTGTCTGTAGCGTCTGTATTTCCAGGTTCTTCAGCATATAGGGGCCTGGTGTAGCACCTCTTCATCAAATTATAAATGGATTATTGTATTTGTATTTGATCACTGAAATAAATAATATAATATAATTACCCTTTTTTAAATCTAATTGGCTTAAAGTTTTTTTGAAAAAAATACATTTTTCATTCATTCGCTGTCATCTTACTTGAGCCAACAATGCTTGTTGAAGTACATTTTAAAAAAATTAAAAAAACTATTTAATAAAAAAAAGTTTGCATCAAGAATTATATCCAACACGTACCGTTTTACGCATTCCTAAGCATTATTTAGTGAAGTCAAGTATAATAAATGAATCTATAAAAAATAAATTGTTATCTTTTTCATACTTACTTTTAAACTGAATATGTTACTTGAAAATCAAGTTACGTATTTGGTTTATTTTGATTAGGCGGTTAAAAATTTTTAAATGCATTTTTATAAACTTTAAAACTTGTTTTGGAACTAATGAATTTTAAACTTCTAACATGAGACCAAATGTATGCGATAAAATACTAATGAATTTTAAACTTCTAACATGGGACCAAATGTATGGGATAAAAACGAACTTCAAACACTTGCAATGCTTAAATCTCTTACTTTTTATCTAAAAGGTTTTTTTTTCTTTTTTAGAAATTTTGAGATATAGAGGAATGTTTTTAGAAATTAACGATTGTGCCCCTCCACTTCGAAACCCGTGTCGTCGGTCCTGTTTTAAAGATGATATCATTAGTTATTGTTTCATTCCTTATTATATAAAAATTTATTTATATCAATCTCTGCCATGTATTCAATATATTTCAAGGTATACACTGCTTTAAAATAAAAAACATCATGATAAGGCATATTTGCTTACATGTTTTTCAACAGTATATAATTTTGTTATACTAAATATTTTACCTATTTATTCTAAATTTTTCTTTTTATTAATCAATATTTAAAAGTAAAATGGTTTTAAAAATTAATTAACATGATTACAATCTTTTTTTATGCAAATACGATAAAACTTTTGGTAAAACCTTTAGAATGTTTTATATTATATAGTGTTCTAGTTCTTTAGTTGTTATTATACATTTACGGTGATGATTAAAAGACTTGGCAACCATGGCCTACTTAAATTACACGGCCTGATTTGTTGCATTTTCCGTAAAAAATTAAGAGGCCAGTTTTTTTTACGGCATAAGTATAAAAACTTAAATTTTGTTATTTTTGAGAATCTTGTTAGCACTATCATTGTTTTATTTTTATTTTATTAAAATGGTTTAATATTAGTTAGATTTTCTTTGATTACTTAAATTATTTTGTGCTAGATTTTCTGTTAACTGATTGCCTGCTTCAATTTATTCCAATAAAAAAGAATACTGAAATAGACTTTCAGATAGCTATATCAACACATATTAAAATGCTACTAAAAATAATCTTACATATTGCTAAAACTACCCACAACTCTCCATTGGAAATAATTTTAAAGGTTTGTAATTTTGTATTTATTATAATTGCAATTATTAAGTAGAAAACATAAACTTTTCTTTAAATTATTTACACTGCAAAACAAGGTTTTGCATTGTAAATACTTTATTATGCTGCATGTCTCAAACATACAGCAATTAAAATGTAACAAATCAGGCTATTTATTTACAGTAGCCAAGAAATATCAGGCATACCAACTGTTTTGGAGTCAATAGCTGTTAATAAAATTCTAATTTTTTTTATTGCCAAATAAATGGTTATCATTCTTCTTTATTTAAATGGTTTCGCAGTGGTAAAAAATACAAATTGAAAAACTATAATATATTAGAAAAAACATTGACAAAAGTTTGGTATTAAGAGATTATTTGCTTCTTGTGGGTAAGGTGAACTTTCAAAAAGCAGCCCAAAGTGGTAAACATTTTGATGAAGATTGATAAAACAATCTTTATAAAGAATTGGTTTTTGTTTTTATGATTGTAGGGCTTCAAAAATTTATTCTTATGTTTTGAAACATAAGAATAAATTTTTGTTGTCAACATCGACAATATTTGACAAAACAACTGCAGCTACAACTGCTAATTTAGAGTTATTTTTCTGAAAGAAATAACGCAGCACAATTATCATTGTTTTATAAGTTATTTATCATACTTAATTCAAAGCAGAAACTTAATTCATCTAATCAAACTCAGCAATGCTGCTATGAAAGGTGATAACAAACCCACACTTTATAGAGAAATTGCAAATTGTACTGAAATTTGATCAAAATAAAATTTGATAAATAGCTGACATTAACCAAACAAACTTCTTGTGCTCTAATTACAACACTACACGCATTTGTATTTCTTATGCATGATTTCCTTGAAGAAGGCTTTACATTTATTTATAGTTAATTTACAAAAAGATCCTTTGGAGCTAGGTTTTATTAAGTATAGTTAAATGCCCAATAGTAGACTTTTTGTGAGCCTTTTAGAAATGTGCATAAGTAAAAAGATTTTTTTAGATTTTCCCAGAAAATATTTACCAGAATTTTGATAATCTTTAAAAAATATTATGCAAGATATTGCTTAGTTGTCTACATAAATACTAATGTATTTTATCTTTTTATTTCAATTATAAAAAATACAAAACTACAAACCTTTTTTTTGCTCAATGGAGAGTTTTAGGCAATCTAAGCAACATGAGAGATTATTTTTAGTAGCATGTTGGTATGGGTTGATATAGTTATCTGGGAGCCTATTTCAGTATTCTGTGTTGTTGGAATAAACTGAAGCAGGCAATCAGTTAACAGAAAATCTAGCAACAAATTAATGTAAGTATTCAAAGAAAATCTAACTATTATTAAACCATTTTAATAAAATAAAAATAAAACAATTATGGTGCAAACAAGACTCTTAACCATAA